TTTTATTTTCAGTAAAAATAAAAAAGTTACAAAAATATAACAAACATTGTTGATAAATAGAATTTTATTTTGTTTATTTCATTTTTCAAAAAAGTCAAATATCTACAAGATTTTGAAAAAAACACACTAAATTAATTTGCATAGCTTTAAAAATTTCAAAAATGCATAAATTATACTCATGCATCATAAAAATGCACAAACACATAAAAAAAGCATGTTGAGATAATTACAGACGCCAAAAACCAAAACTAATTTTTTTATGTAAAAAAATATAACAAACATTGTGGATGAATAGGATTTTACATGTATTTTGTTAATTTAATTTTTCTCCAAAATTTTCAAAACAGCACCGAAATAAATTTGCGTAGCTTTAAAAATTAATAAATGCATAACTTACACTCATGCATAAATATACACAAAAGATATAAAAAAAAACATGTTGAGTTAATTAATCAATTATTTCCAAACTATTTTTTTAAGTAAAAATAAAAAAGTTAAAAAACTATAACAAAAATTGTAGCTGAATGAAATTTTACTTGCATTATTTTGTTTATTTAATTTTTCTATTTTTAAAAAAGTCAAATATCTACAAAGTTTTGAAAAAAAAGCACTAAATTAATTTAGGTAGCTTTATAAACTTTAAAAATGCATAAATTATACTCATGCATGATAAAAATGCACAAAAACTTAAAAAAAATATGACAAACATTGTCGATGGAAGGAATTTTACATGTAAGTAAGTATTTTGTTAATTTAATTTTCCTCCAAAATTTTCAATTCAATTTTTCTCTAAAATTTTTAAAAAAGTTAGAAAATTTTGAAAAAAACGGCACTGAAAAAAATTAGAAAATGCATAAATTACACACATGCATAATAAAAATACCCAAAAAATAGTAAAAAAAGAACATGTGTCAATTAGAGAGATGCTAAAACTAAAAACCTAATGAATTAATTATTTCAAAAGTAATTTTTTTTAAGTAAAAATATAAAAATAATGATGGTAAAAATTAAAACAAACATTGTTAATGGATGAAATTTTACATGTTGAATTTTGTTTAATTTTCTTTCGAAATTTTCAAAAATGTTAAATAACTACAAAAAAAGACACCAAAATTAATTTACGTAGCCATAAAAAAATTTAAAATGCATAAATTAACTCATGCATAATAAAAAGACACAAAAATTTAAAAAAACATGTTGAAAGAATTACAGAAATGATAAAATGCAAAACCTAATTATGTAATTAATCATTTCATAAATATTTTTTTAAGTAGTAAGATAAAAAATTATAACTAATATTGTTGCTAAATAAAATTCTACCTGCATTATTTTGTTTATTTAATTTTTATCCAAAATTTCGAAAGAAGTTAAATATCTACAAAATTTTGAGAAATCAGTTTACGTAGCTTTGAAAAACTAAAAAAAAATATGACAAAAGACAGACTAGAAGTATGTTGAAACAATTATTCAGAGATGCAAAAAAACAAAAACTTTATTAATTAATTATTAAAAAAATTCAATGTGAAAAGAATGATTTATTTGAGAAAATAGACATGCGATTGATTGAGCATTTATGGAGTTATTAAATGAAAAATCGCTTTGAATTTTAGTTAATTAATTGCAATTAAATTGTTGGTCGTCCTGTAGAGGCCATTACACCACCGTCATTTGTTTTAAATCGTTGCCTAGCAACCCCTGTTTATTCGTCGCCATGCCGACAAATAACAAAAGCTTGTCATACGGGAACAGTTGTGAAATCGTTAATAATTAAAACAGCGATTATCACAATTGTGATAAGTGTAGTGTTTTACCGATCGTGAAAGATAAGCGAAAAGCGCGTCGTGAGGTAAGTTTCCCGTGGAATTTCCTCAATTCCATCAGCGCGTCGTATTTCGCTGACGTCACAGCGTGTTGTACCGGGTGTTGTTGAAAATGTTGTAAATCGGGTGTTATATCGAGTCGGCGTTGCGTTTTGTTAGTAAGTTTTGTTCTTTTTCGTGTCGGTTATTGATTGAATTGCGCTCAAAGCCGCCGCGCTCGCCGCCGCTCGCAAGCAGTTTCCTGCATTACCGGCCATGGAGGCCTCGTTACGTTAAATAATCAATAACACAAAGTCGGTCTGTTTTAACAACAATCGGGCCGTGAGGCGATGATCGGCGTGTCATCTGGGGTCCCACTTGGCCAGTGAGCCCCCTGGCCCGTTCCGGAAGCCCGCCAGCTGTCAAATCGTCCGAATCTCATTTTCGTATCCTTGGAGACTGCCCTAGCAACCGATACAACAACATAACAACATTAGGTAAATCCGCAATCGGTGTGTGTTTTTGTGTTTGGTGGCGTTTTTGCGGCACGTGCCCCCGACGACGCCGCCCCCGCCCGCCGCCCCGCGTCCATTAATAACTTTAAATTAGTTTCGACGAGTCAAAGGGCGCAATTAGGGGGGCTGAATTAGCCTAGCAGGTGATCCGAGGATGATTACCAGTCGCAATTTCACCAATCTTATGTTTTAGTGAAGGAAGAGGTGAGTTAGCGGAGCGACAAATCGGGGGACACTCATCCACATTGATCAGGGAAAGTGATCTCACCCTCTAGATTTGTTACCATGGTGGGTCGCTATAGCGATGGGGCCCGATTAAGACGGCCGCGGTGCCAGCTCGTGCCACCCCTAGGAAAATCGCCCCCACCTGCATGACTCACCTGTCCAATTATCTAGGGCCAGGTGGATGCCAATTATGCACACACCTGGCCCCCCTGTGTAAAACAAAGCCTAATACCGAGTTTTAGCGATATTGATATGTACACATCGTTCGAACGAGCCTCCGAAGCATCCTTCGATACGTGCCTTACTTGATCTGGATTGGTTGTTCTAGAGAGGGCATCAGGAGTAGCCTTGGAAACGCAGCCATGGCAACTACAGCTCGATTTGCTGCAGCAGGAGGCAGCAGCAGCCCTCCCACCCCCACGCCAGCCACTTCACCCCCAGCACAGACTCCGGCTACCCAGCTAATAGTACTGCCTGCTAGTTTGCACCAGGTAATTGCGACTTTTGCACATTGTGTATTGATCTCAGTGGGGCTGTTGACTATTGATTTCGTCTTAGTTTTCATTTTGGGTGAGAGGAAAAGTGAGTGTGTTTTTTTGGGGGGGCTTCGATGAAAATTTTCTTCGAAGGGTTTCTGTGCGCGATTTTGAGTTTGTTGGTCAAGGGCGGGCATTTATCTCGATGTTTTGCTAGTCGGGGACTGGAGGGGCTATCGTCAACGGAGTGCCGGTCATAGACGTCTCAGCACTGGAGCAGGCAGCTGAGTCAAGCAACGAGAGCACAGCCACTGCTGAGCAACAAGGGGAAACCCACGATACGGATACCATAGCACAGACTTCGCCGCATTTTATCACAGTCACAGGCAAGTATTTCGTCAAATTAGGCTTAATCAACAATAAAAAACATTATAAACAATTTAACAATTATTGTTTTTACGTTGTTTTTTGTGTGGTGTATAATTGGTTGCCTAACTGAAATTATTTTCCGTATTGCGGGTTGTATAAAAATACTGTGGGTTAGAAGAAAGAAATCGATTTGTATTTGAATTATTTAATAACTAAAGCACGGCTTTTTCTTATAAATTACGGCAAGTACACTGAACTTTTGTTGTTGATTACCTCCAGTCGGAAAGTTGACTTTTCGTTCATTGGCTAAAAAACTGGTCATCATGAAATTAAGTCTAATATTTTGTGTTTGATAAGATCGAAAAAATATTGTCAAGTGTAGCTATATTTATTTTAGAGAATATTTTTTGTGCTTTATTTTTGTTTCCCTAAATTACAAAAATAAAAACGCTAACAGTTATTTTGTTGATTATAGAGGACGGAAAAATGGGTAATTGATAAAGAAATTGGGCACAAATGATTAATTTGTTTTGTATTTGGATTGAAATGAAGTGAGACATTATGCATTTTGGGAAATTATCAAAAAATATTAACTTTATTTTAATACTCTGTTTAGAATTTTCAGAAATGGAAGAACTATGTAATTTTATACATTTTCAAATAAACAAAACATAGTTTTTTAACGTTTAATACTCAAATATATAGTATTTAAGTTTCACAAAAAACTGAATTGTTTTAAAGAACTACATCATAATCGTATATGTAAAAAAATATAAGTTTTCAATAAAACAGCATGGATACCTAAAGGAAATAGCTCATTAAAATAAAAAAATTTAAATGTAGTTCTTGTCATTTTTTCTTGATATTTCTCGGTTTTATGAAATAAACAACTTTTGGTAATTTTTAATAAAAAAGAGGTTCTATGACGGACGATGTTAACTTTTAAAACGTACTAAATAGCATTTTTTATATTAATATGTAATTAAGACAGGAATGCCTAAATTTATTGAAAAAATAGGAAAACTTATGAAATTTAAAATACTTAACCCTGTTTTTGCCTAAGTTTATTGGACATTTCTATTTACAAAAATAATAAAAATTCAAAATTTTTCAAACTGAATAAAATAAAACTTTCATTAACAAATATCCACTTCCAGAATATTTCCGTGTAAGTTAAGATAAAGTAATAGAAACGTTAACCGTTTGTAACAAAATTAATTCAACTGCAAATTTTTGAATTAGTAAAGGTTGCAATGTTGTGTGGAGAAAAAAGAAAACTTCAGAGAAGAGTGAAAGTTTTGGATGAATGTAAAATTTTTTTGTTTTTTTTTTAGTTTTTTTTTAATTTCCTTTTGAAATAAGTTTAATGTTAGAAATCATTAACAGTTACTAACTACATTTTTCCAGCTATGAACATTAATTCCTGTTTTCTCCAAAACATACAAATTTTAAGAGTTTTACAAAAAGTGGGATTGCAAAATTGATTCAAATTCTGACATATAAAAGCATGTTTGCATGAAGGTGTTTATCATCACGTTTTGTTAGGAAGAAATCGCAATCATTCAAAGATTTTGAGTGGATTTTTATAAAATATAATTGTGGCAAGGAAGTTTAATTTGAAAAACAGTAGTACTTAAATTAAAACAAAATATAGCACTTGAAGTTAGATTCAATAGTTTTTAAAGCGGCATTTTTTATTTTACTTAAAAAATCCATAGGGTACCAGATGAAAATCATTTTGAATACGTTGTATTTATCGAGAAAAAAATGAAAGTAGTGTTGCCTTTTTCTAAAACGTTATTACAAAATTTTCTGTTTTCGAAACATAAAAAATACTATGCGCATTTTTTTTCGAAGTACAGTGATGGACAGTGAAATTTGTCCGCCTTTTTCCCGTGAATTCACAAAAATTTACTGCAGTCTGTACTTTATTGTCATGATAACTGACATTTAAATACGTGTTGTCAAATTTAATTAAATTCTTATTCATTTTGGACCGGATTTTCAACCTGAAAATGGATTGGTACAGTTGGAGACAAACTACTTTGGTCGTCAATGTCACTTGAGTCACATTAAATTGTAAAGCATGCTTTAGGACTGTAAACCTTATTTTTAGCTACTGTCAATTGTAAGTACATATTTTTCATAGGAAAATATAATAGCTGTCATTAATTTGAAATTGTCATTCATTTTAACGTTAAAGCTTGAATTACAGAAAAGTGACGGCCAAAGTATTTTGCCTCCAACTGTACTATACCTCAAGCAATGTAAGACAAAGCACAGGTTAAAAGTAGTAAGCAACATCGAGCATTTGGTCAACATGATAAATGTTCATTAAAGTTCTCAAACAAGGTTAGAAAAACCTAAAGACTAATTTACACTTTTAGTCTGTCATGGAAATTGGGTGGACGAAATTCACTGTTCGTCACTGTACTTTCATTAACAGTTCTAGTTTATTCAATAATTTAAAAATCGGTTTGTTTCTTTTCAAGAAATTAGAGAAAGAAATGGAAAAAATAGTTTCTACATTCTCTCAAATAAATAAAAGAGTTTTTGTGATTTTTAATAGTCGAATATTGGGTTTTAATTTCAAAAACTAACATAAAAAGTTAATTGTTTTTATTTTAAACTTCATACACATTTTTTTTTATTTAATAACGGAACCTAAGCAAGCAGTTCATTGAAGTAAAATCCTTCAAATGTTGTAATTAATTTTTTAAATATATTTTTCGATGATTCTTTGTTAATAGTTAAAATGTCCACATTATCAAGTTTTGGTCACCAGAAACTTGTCTGTCAAACGATTAATTATAATTTTGTGTTTAACTGTAACTTTTTTCAAGGGCTTTTAAAATTTAACACACATTTAACAAAATTTTGTTTCAAAATTGACTTAATTAACTTTAACTTAAATTTTTACTAATGTGTTTTTTTTTAATAAGCGACTCGGCACCTGCATTTCCCATACGATTTTCTATGGATTCACCCGAGCAACTCGTTCCCCGTTTCAATGGCCACTTAATTAAAATAAGAACTGTAACTTTTATTAGGGTCTCAACCCTAACTTAAATCTACTTTGACTGATCTGTGTACCGGTTAATAAAGTGGGGTGTATCTCAATTACGTCATTGATCATAAGCAAAGGATTACTTATTAGGGGGTGGCAGGTGCCCGAAACTAATACTTGAGGGAAAAAGTGATTTTTTTTGTTGTTATTTCGGCATGTAACCCATCAAACCTGCATGGTACCATCCCTTATCACTTATCAGTCATCATTAATTAACTTGTACGTAATATTTTAACGCAACCAGAAGCTGCGGCTAGATCATACGCTTCTTTAACACCAGTTCAGCCTGCAGTAGGTAAGCGCACACTTTTCTACTATACAGAGTGATTCAAAACTATTGGACAAGCTCTTATAGGGTGATAGTAATTTTCCTCTACATTTGAGAAGAGTTTTTCCACATTTTAATAAAAAAATAATATAAATGTGCATTTTAGTTTGCAGTTTTGAGTGTTTCAATCAAAAAACCACTCGAGGGATTGTACGGTCCTTTTGAATCATCCTGTAGATCGTCTAGAAAAAAATGATTTTTTTGTATTCTATTATTTTTCGCCGGTCTTTATGTGATGCATGCCTCGTACTTGGCACACTTGGGGTTGGTTGCTTTCACCTGGGGAAGATTACCTTTCCCTTTACACACGCGTGTACACGTGTCGGTCACGCGTCACCTGTACGTCGCGGATTATCCGCGTTCTTATTTGATCATGTCGATCATACGGGGCGACAGGTATAGGGGATGATACATCCTGTTATTTCCACGCGAATGAATGCATTATTATCGAGGAGTTTCGATTGTGATTTTTGGTAGTTGTGAGTCGAACGAACGGCCGAAGAGATGTTCTGTCATAGGCCATGCTACGGTTGTTGATGGTGAAAATGGAAAATTTGGTTTTTGACGAGGTTTGTGGTTTTTCAGTTGCCGACGGTGACACGGTGGCATCGCATCAAAGCTATCACATACAGTATGTGGAGCCCGAGATCTACGCATCCCAAACGAATAGCGGACAGGCACAAATGTAAGCAAAAATTTATAAAAAAAAATTTTTGGTTTATTTTTTTTGCCGTTTTTTTTTGTATTTCTCAGTCAAAACGGTCACTTCTAGAAACTGCGTGTAAATTTTTTTGCATAGAATTAATCAAGTTACACTAAAAGGGTTGTTATTATGTTTCTTTATATCCAAGTTTGCTACGAAAATATTTCTCACCGAAAAAACGATGTTTTTTCGCAATTGTGTTATTCTTTTCGTAAATTATAACAAATTTATTCGATCTAAATTTGAATAATCTTCATTCACTATTTGGCTAATGAATATCCTGTAATAATAATTCATTTACAAAAATTGAGTTATGGGTACTTGAATTTTCCAAAATGTAACGTTAATTTATTTGGGGGTTTGTTAATTTCACGTTAATTTATTTGGGGATTTGTTAATATATTTTTTCAGTTATGAATCAACCTAAAGAAAAATCAAACCTTTAGCTTTGCCCAAATACGATTTCATAATAGTTACAAATTGCAAAGTTATGGATTTTTTCACATCCAAAACTTTTCAAAAAAGTCTAAAAACCTCTAAAACGGATGATTTTAGTTACTCCATAATAATTCTCATAGAATGGCTTGCGGAATTCAGAAACGCAATAAAAAATATAGTTTTCTGTTTAAAATAACAAAGTTGATACCCACTTCCGGTATAAGCGGAAGTGCCACCATTTTGATAATATGATAATATTTTCATTGAGGAGGACCTAACCAAGTATGCAATTTTGTAGATAAATATAAGAATACTTCTAGTTTAGCGGGAATACCATGAATAACTCGGTATTTCCGATTTTGTAAGTTTTATTGTTTTTAGTACACTGGCCGCCAAAATTAACCGAACAGCTAAAATTTTGCGATTTTTCACATTATATTATTTTTGTTATTCTTTGTCGGATTTCAACGAATATTTGTTTGGATTAAAGAATGAAGTTTGCAGAACATTGTAATAAAATTCAATAACATTTCTAGTTTTGTTTTATAAATAAAAAGAGGAGAGCACTGTTTTTTTTATACTGAGCTGTAGTGTGCAACAGCGACAAAATTAAGTTTTTACTTATGTCAGATTATTGCCCGTTCTTTTCTGAATGGGGACCAATTTGTTTCAAAATTTTATTTTCTGGTACCCCAAAGATACAAAACATTGGAAAAGGCGTTTTTTTAATATTACTAAATATTCCTTCAGAAAGAAGGCTACATAAAAAGGTAGTTAAACCGAAAATTATTGCTTATGTCACCAAAACAGCACAATTACGTCTTTGAACACAAAAAATTTTTGAAAAACTTGGAACTTTAAAGGATTACAACAAGTAAAACAGTTAATTATTGGAAACTTCCTTGCTTCTATTTTGACGTTTTGACACATTTGGCCTACTTAATACGAATATTTATTGAAATTGGAAATGTAATGCTTTTTTTGAAGGTTTATATCTCTCATGTCTCAAGAATTAAAACGATGAAAATGTGGTACATAATTCAGAAAAAAACGGACAATAATCTGAAATAAGTAAAAACTTAATTTTGTCTCTGTTGCACACTACAGCTCAGTATAAAAAAAAGTAAAAAAACAGTGCTCTCGTCTTTTAGGTATAACATTTACAAAACAAAACTAGAAATGTTATTGAATTAAATTACAATGTTCTGCAAAGTTCATTTTTTAAGCCGAACAAAAATTCGTCGAAATCCGACAAAGAATAACAAAAAAACAAAAATATTGCAATGTGAAAAATCGCAAAATTTGGTGGCCAGTTAATTTTGGCGGCCAGTGTATTATAATTTAAAAAATTTACGAAAAATGGAATAAATCTCACACAAAGAAATGAATTTATCAAAACGAACGCTTTTTTGCTTGAAAAATAAATAATCAATTTGGCACATTTTTAAAAATATCAAAAAATTTATAAAAGGGCACTGTTTTTGCTAGATTTTCTCAAAATTTCAGGATGGACGTTTAAAATGACTTCAAAAATATTTGACTTCAAAGCGAGCTTATTTCATCTAAAAACCTAACACAGAAAATAATAGCTTTCCACAAGTTTTATTTGTTTAGATTATTATTTAATTAAAAAATTCATTAGTTGAATTAAAAACTGCTTTTTTAATTGAAAATAATAATTATTTTTAAATTGTGAACATTTGTCATGAGTTATTTTATAATTAAACTTTTTTTTTTCTTTTCGTAATATAAAAAATTCATAAAGTAAAATGATCAATGATACTAAATTGATTACATTACTGTATTTTTTTTATGGTTTAGCAACGTACACAAAAATAAACTATTGTAGTGGGCAGTTAATTGCTCTTTATATTTCGTAATTTCATTTTCTGTAAATCGATGCGTTGGTATAGTCTTTCATTAATAATATTTTTATCCTGTAACAAAATATAAACACGTTTTCACGAGATTTCACGAGAAGAGATAATGTTTTGACAGATTAGGGTTTTCGATTCATTTTCCATAAGAAAAATTATTTATGATTTTTCCGATTTGTAGCCTATTTTTTTTTAAGAAAGTGAGTTTTACCCATTATTTTTTTTAATTAGTTAAAAATTTAAGAAAAAAATCACTAAGAATCGGATATTCGGAAAAAACTGGATCAATTCACATGAAGCTGAAGGTGATTTTTAATCAAACGTCGCCTTTATTTAATTTAATTTTTCCAAAAAATTCCAACAGATTTAGAGTTCTCTATCCATTTTAGATTAGAAAAACCGTTTACCACGTTTCTAAAATTTGTTGTGTAAAAATTAGGAAATAGATTTCCAGTCGCTAATTATTTCTGAAAATATTTATCCTAACTGAAAATTTCTTACTGATTCATAATTTTCCCTAAGAAGTGATTTTTACACAAATTTACATGCATGATAAAAGAAATTAATAAATTATTTGCAATTAGTAGCCTTTTTCAGTATTTTTTTACATTTCTAACCTACATTGTAGAACCAAGCTTGTTTTCTGAAAAAAAATAATTGACGAATGATAAAGGACTATAAAAATGTGGCCATTTTATATAAATAAAATTCTTGTATTTTTTTGAGTCCTGCAAAATTTATTATTTTTTTTAAACGGCAACCCACTATGAAATTTTTTTCGACAAAGTCTGTTGTACAAATTACAACGTTGTAGACTTTAATTTTTGTCAAAAAATTTGCTATTAAAAAAGTAACTTAAATTATAAAACGATTTGTTTCTTTCAGTGTTTACTAAAGTAAAATAAAATAATAAACAATGGTGTCAGTTACAGGGTATTTTTTTAATATTGCAAAAATGATAACTACATATTCTACATCGAAAAGTTTTGTTTCGGATATACAGGGTGATAAAGTTTCATTATACAAATTAGAATCAATTTGTTCCTCCGAAACCACTTGAGTTATTTTCACAAAATTTTACAGGTTTTGTGAGCCATTGAAGGCGCTTTTTTATTTTTTTTATTAATATGTGGTTGCAATTTTTCACAATATTAAGAAAACAGCCTGTATACAGGCTGTCCCAACGGTCCGAAAAAGCTCTATAACTTGTTTATTTTAAGAGATATTGACTTTTTCTTTTTTTTTAGATTATAGCTAGCTGTTTGATGTACATTTTAAAAATATTGCGGTTTATATACAGGTTGTTCCAATATTAAAAAAACACTAAAGTTATGTTTTTTTAAATGGAATCTACTCAGTTTGATTTTATTTTTGGATTCTACGCTAAATTACAAATAACTTTTATAGAGGTTGTTCTCATTTATCTGTTATCAATTTTGATTTGTGGCGCTTTTTCACCAGAATTTTTTAAATGCAGGGGTCTGTCTAAAAATTCGTATTTTCTAAATGCTTGCACACAAGTTAAAGTAAGTAACGCCATTTGAATCCTGAATGTTTGCCGCATCTTTTAAGTGTTTATTCAACAACCTGCATGCGCCTACTACGATTTTTTAAACATGACAAATTAAAAATGTCAAAAACTCATTTTTTCAAATGGCACCCTCTATTTATTATTGTACCAATCAAAAGATCTTTTGACAAGCTTTCCATCAATATAAGGTTTGTATAGTCTAGTGTAAAATTCTAAGTTGCTATCCTAAATTAACTAAATTTCAAAAAACTTTTCTGTTTTGGACAATAAAAATCGAGTGGGCTTCTGTCATTGTTACAATCTATCAATTTTATTGTAAAGATTATAAGTCCCAAAATGAATTTTACTCGTCAAGAACTCATTAACATGGTATACAGTTTTGGTGAAGCGGATCGTAATATTTTATTGGCTCAAAGACTCTACAAATAAAAATACCCAAATGCAAGACTGCCGCAAAGTGTTGCATTTAAAAAATTATATAAAAATGTATATAAATTGAGACCAACAACTGCGGAGGATATGAAACAAAGTATAGGCGATACATTCCATTTAATAAATGCAGATATGCTAAGTCGTGTTAGACTATCTTTTAGACGAAGACTGCATACTTGTATTGAAAAAAATGATAATATTTTTGAGCATCTGTTATAAAGAAAATTGTAAAATAGCTTTAATGTTTTATTTTTTTTTTGTTTGTTAAGGTTTTTACATTTTTCTACTAAATTACTGCTTTGCGATATGTTAGATTTTGCGTAATTTTCTCTGTAACTCAATTTTGCTCAATTTTACATTTTCTTCCAGCAAAGAATTTCCAATTCCATACTTTTGTTTATTTTCTGTGCTAATTTTTTTTTGCATAAGGCCCACTCGATTTTTATTGTTCAAAACAGGAAAATTTGTCAAAATTTAGTTAATTTAGTATAGCAACTTAGAATTTTACACTAGACTATACAAACCTTATATTGATAGAAAGCTTGTCAAAAGATCTTTTGATTGGTACAATAATAAATAAAGGGTGCCATTTGAAAAAAATGAGTTTTTGACATTTTTAATTTGTCATGTTTAAAAAATCGTAGTAGGCGCATGCCACTGAGCAGGTTGTTGAATAAACACTTAAAAGATGCGGCAAACATTCAGGAATCAAATGGCGTTACTTACTTTAACTTGTGTGCAAGCATTTAGAAAATAAGAATTTTTAGACAGACCCCTGCATTTAAAAAATTTTGGTGAAAAAACGCCACAAATCAAAATTGATAACAGATAAATGAAAACAACCTCTATAAAAGTTATTTGTAGTTTAGCGTAGAATCCAAAAATAAAATCAAACTGAGTAGATTCCATTTAAAAAAACATAACTTTAGTGTTTTTTTAATATTGGGACACCTGTATATAAACCGCAATATTTTTAAAATGTGCATCAAAAACGCAGCTATAATCTAAAAAAAAGAAAAAGTCAATATCTCTTAACATAAACAAGTTATAGAGCTTTTTCGGACCGTTGGGACAGCCTGTATATTTCAATTTTATAAATGAAAAATTCTTGAAATTGACGTTATTTGAATTGAAAAATGCAAATAATTTTGCAGGGCGTATCCGGTATACACCGTGGGCGAATCAACGACGTTGTACTCGGCCGGTCAGGGCCAATACTACGCCGCCACGAACACCGGCTCCGCCTCCACGGGCGGTACCGTCGGTTACAGTACCACAAGTGGTCACTACGTCGTCCAACAGGCCGTAGACCCCGACACTTTAATCGCATCGACGCGAAACTCCCCTCAAACAACAAACGCTGTAAGACCCCATTTATGCCCCATCCTTTCTGTTTCTATTAACTCTGCTTTTATTTCTTTTTTTTTTCTTTACTAACCGTGGGGTGTAGGAACCGAGCTATGTAGCTACAGGGACCGTGCATGCGACTCAGAGCAACACCGTGAGCAATGAGGAGGTGGGCTCGGCGTTGGGACACGCCACGAGGGTGTCTCCGGCTACAGTAAGTCGTAGTTTGCCTTTTGGGGGTGTCTTTGGTGTCTTTTTCTCGCTTTTTTGCCATTTTTGTTGGGGGTTTGTGTCAATTTTTGTGTATAATTTATTAGGTGCAATGGTTGTTGGAGAATTACGAGACGGCTGAAGGGGTGTCTTTGCCTCGGTCCACACTCTATGCTCATTATTTGCGACATTGTGCTGAGAATAAATTAGAGCCGGTGAATGCGGCCTCGTTCGGGAAATTGATAAGATCGGTGTTTCTCGGGTTGAGGACGCGAAGACTCGGCACTAGAGGCAACTCCAAGTACCATTACTACGGAATTCGGGTAAAACCCGGTTCCTCGTTGATGAATATGGACGAGTCGGGGAATCGAGTCGTCTTGAATACATCGAACGCTTCGGGGAAGGCCCAAGGAACGGTTAGGCCGTTTAAGCGAAATTCGGATTCGTCCGATGCGTCGATTTCCGTTAGTGTTTTGTCGCAACATGTGACCTATTTGGGGGATGGGAGTAACGCGATTCCTGCTTTTCCCGATATACATTTCAACGCTGAGTCGCTACCCGACGAGTGTGGGTATGAAGACGTCGATACTTTGAAGTAAAGTTGAAGGAAAAAAATTAATTGGGGCCAATTATAGCGCATTTTTCCAGGTCCATATATAGGGAACATTTAGAAGCCTTCTTAGATGCCATATTAAGTTTAGAATTTACCACAATAGAGTCGTTGTGGAGGGAATTCTGGCGATCACAATATAATAATAACGGCGACGAATGCGAAGAAGAAAAGTATTTGTCGAAGTCGAAATTGTTCTGTTTGTGTTCGATGGAAGCTGTACAGCAGTTTATGAAGCATGTGGATTTGGTTTTTTATCAAAATTTGATACAAGTTTTGGTACCTGATGTACTTAAGCCGATACCGGCGACTCTCACTCAGTCGATTAGGAATTTTGCCAAAAGTAAGTATCATAAAAACTTGAGTTTCTCAGAAAAAAAATCTCAAAATAAAATCTTAAGAGTGAAAAATCGAGGGAATTGTCAAAATTTTCTCGATTTACTGAGCTTAAAAATGCAAAATACTAAGACACGTTACTAGTTCTCTAAAATTCTTGAAAAATACCTGGAATTCTTTTTTTTTTATTTTCATATTTAAACGTTATTTTCTAAAAGAAATTTGTCTGTAATAAACAATATTCCATAAAGCCCAAAAAAATTCCTCCAAAAGTTTACAAAGTTGTCGTTTTACAATAATTACAGGCGTATTGGGTGTTTAGCAAATGGGAAATCCAAGATCCAACTATTCAAAATCAAAACCTAAAAGTTTACCTAATGTTCTGAACATCAAATAGTTAATTATCTAATTAATTAATTTAAATTATTTAAAAAATTTACAACACAAAACTTTGGGAGTTCTCATTTTATTGAGCTCGAAAATACAAGTTTTATAATTTTTTGAATTACTTTTCTAAAATGTTAAAAATTTTGCAAACGAAAAAACTTTTGTCAGTAAAAATACTCCAAAAAATGCCTTAAATGTCTTTACAATTTCGAAAATTATTATTCAAAAACAATTTCGTGGCATGTTTGATGTTTAAGCAAAAAACAAAACACGAGGATCCTGAAGATTACTTTGGAATTAAAAAAATATCAAAGAAATCATAAGAATTACAAAAAACACAGAAATCTAAACAGTTTTCACAAATTAATTACTGATTAATAAAGTTGCTTTAATACACATTACAAAAATTAAAGCCTTAACGGAATTTTGAGGATTTAAAAAAAATCTTGTTTTATTAAAATTTAAATTTTTAACAATGTTTAGAATTACCTGCAATTCTTTTTACTTCATTATATCCGTATGAAAACCTAAATTTTTAAAAGAAATATTTTCGCAGAATTCTTAAAAACCCTAAAAATGTTCTTTATTCTTAAAAAACATTCAGTGTTCGAAAAAATTTAAACAGTTTTTATTAATTCATTGATTTAATTTGTTAAAAATTATAAAAACCTTAAAAGCATTGTAGAAATTCTTTAAATGTTATTTTGTTGGTTTAAGTCCAAAAATATAAAAACATTCAAGACTTAGATTCAATGATCTTTAATAATACTAAAAAAAAATCGAAAGCTTCAAAACTACTTTAGACATCAAACAAGAAATCCTCAATATAAAAATACATGAGAATTCGAAAAAAGAATCTTCTGAAAGGTAATGTCAAATAGTCAAAAGATATTTCTAGAAATCTAGAAATAAAGATATTTCAAAATCTAGAAATCTAGAGAATTGTCAAAAATTTCCCTTTTTACTGAAAATGCAAAATACTGAAAAATCCAAAATTTTAAGGCAAATTTTAAGAATTATTAGTCCTTGAAAATACCTGGAATTCTTTTTTTGTTCCGTATTTAAACCTTATTTTTTTGAAGAAATTTGATTTGTGTCTGTTACTCCCGAGGAGTGAAAATAAAATTACTTGTAAATTCTTAGAAATTTGCGAAATTTTTATTGACAATTACATGGACGTTCAGTGTTTGAAAAATTATAAACAACTCTTAATTAATTAATTGATTAAAATTGAAAAAAATTTGAAAACTTTTGTAAAGCATCAAAAGCACTTCAGACATGAAGGAACATATTCTCAATATAGAAATTCACAACAATCCTTCGTAATCATAAGAGATTTTGAGGAATTTCTAAAGATTCCTAAAAATCTTCAGAAATGTCAGACATTTTTCTTAAATAGTAAAAAGATATTTGTAGAAATACGAATATAACCAAATCTTTAAATAACATTTGAGAAATCTCTAGTAATTGCCAAAAAATTGGGGCAAATCCCTTTAAATCCCTAAAAACCGCTTTTCGTCTCCCCAGACTTGGAAAACTGGCTGACGAGCGCCATGGCAGGGGCCCCCGCCGGCATGTTGACGGTAAAACTATCCGCCGTTTCGGCCTTCAGCTCGAGCCTTCGCCGCTACACATCTCTCAACCACCTAGCCCAAGCCGCTCGTGCCGTACTCCACAACAGCACTCAAATCGCTCAAATGTTGACCGATTTGAATCGTGTCGACTTCCACAGCGTGCGCGAACAAGCCTCCTGGGTGTGTCAATGCGACAACGAGATCGTTGCGCGCTTCGAAAACGACTTCAAACTGACTTTGCAACAACAAAACTCGCTCGAACAGTGGGCCTCCTGGCTGAAGAACGTCGTCAAGAGTGCGCTGAAACCCTACGAAGGAAAACCGAGCTTTTCCAAGGCGGCGAGGCAGTTCCTGCTCAAGTGGAGTTTCTACAGGTGAAACCCCAACTCACAATTACTCACAAAACTAGAAATCAAATCCTGTCGGATTCGAAAATGTTGT